GCCCCACAGATCCCCTTCCCTGAGCCCGCATCCCACTCAGACCCCTCTCCCCCATCCCAACCCCACAGAGACCCCACACCTCCGCCCCGACCCCACACAAACCCGCCTCCACCACACCGCAACCCCACGGAGACCCCTCCCCAGTTCGCCTGCTCCCCACGCAAACCCTTTCCTCGCGCCCCCAGACCCTTCCAGACTCCATTCCCTCCACCGGCCATTGCAGCCGCCCCACGTCACCCCACACACGGCCCCAAAACCGCCTCGCAGCCCCCATCCCCCCCCCCCCCCCCCCCCCCCCCCCCCCCCCCCCCCCCCGCTCCCCCTACCTGCTCTCACCGCTCCCCGCTCGGGGCTGCGGCTGCCGCGGGGTTGACATAATCCGCCCGCAGGCCACGCCCACAACCCCGCCCGGCCCCGCCCACCAGCCCCAAGACACGCCCACAAACGCTCAAGCCACGCCCAACCGCGCCCAAAAGGGGCGGGGCTACAACTAAGCCACTCCCCCGCGGCGAGCCCAGCTCCGCCCCCATCAGGATGGCGGGCATGCGCAGCAACGGGGAGGGGGGGTGCAAAAAGGGGGGGCCTCGGAGGGTCTTTGGGGTTGGGACCCCCCCCTCGTGACCCCTCCCCTTTTTCAGCCTGCGGCCCCTCCCCATTTCCCAGCAGGAGCGCAGAGGTTGATGGGAACCCCCCCCCCCATCATAACATCCTTCTCTCCCCCCCCACCCCCCCCAATTTGGTGGCCCCCCCCCGCCGTGATGTCACTGATGACGTCAGCGCCGTGCGATGCCATCATTTAAAGGGGAGGGGTCCCCCCAGCCCCCCCACAATGACACCAAACATCCGTAGGGCATCCAGCCTTTATTGGGGGGCACAGAATGGGGGAAGGGGAGGGGAACAACCCCAAATTTTGGGGTTCCCCCCCCCAGCGGATACTCTGATTTGGGGGGGGGGGGCTACGCCTGAATGCTGCTTTTGGTGCTGAAGGCAAAGTAATAAACCAGCAGCCCCACAGCCGCTGCCACCACCTCTGTGGAGACCCAGGGACCGTTCCAGGCACCCTAAAATTGGGGGGGGAGCACAAAATACAGAGGGGGGGTCAATGATGGGATACTCCCCCCCCCTCCCCAAAACCTCTGCCTTCCAACCAGGGCTGGAAATGACAGGGATTCCATTCATGTGCTCAAGGTGACAGCCCAAAGGGCCCCCATAGCACAGCCCCACATCCCCCCTGCCCCAAATAACCCCCCCATAGCCCCTCCCCCATAAACATCTCCTCTATATCACCCCCCCTTAAT